AACTAAATTTCTAAATACATTCATGCCACTACAGTAATTTTTTCGTAGCACCATTCCATTGCTCCTTTCACAAAGGTATTTTCCATAGCAGGATTGTCTCTTTGTTTACATCAAGGGAATAGACATAAAATCATCTGATCTTTGTCTTACCAAGTATGCAAAAATTCATCCGCATTGAAAATGGCTTTGGATAACAAGCACTTTTAATATGTTCATTGTTCAAGATATAGCTCACCACATACTAAAGTACTGTATTTCCGTTGGCAAGCTTTGAGCTTTGATTTGAACTTTCCAAAAATCACTTCCTACTTTCTCTTCCATATATGCACACGAAAAAGCACAAAACACCGTATCTGAACAATAGTGGGGAAAGAAACAAGAAAATGACATGAAACTTTTCCCAAAATTCGGAACCTCAAACCACATGGGAGAAAAAGAAACACGAGGGAAAGCCAGAAAAGAATACACAAAACTACCAATGTCTACAAAATATTTGGAAACTGAGAATCCAATCTTTTTTGCAACTCCTTGATCTTCATGGAGAGCTCAGCCTTCTGCTCCTTGTAGCTCTGCAGCAGGTATTCCTTCCCTTCTATCACTTCTTTCAACTCATTAACTTCCCTTTTCAACATCCCAATCCTCTCTCCATCTCCTCTTCCCTTTTCCAAAGGCTCCAAATTGCTCTCAACTTCAAGACACCCGTTTACATGACCATTCTGGCAGTCAGAAGGCCACAATGTTGAGGTCTTGTCAATTGGACCCACTTGTCCAACACAATGATCCGCAATTGCCTTCCTCAGCCTCTGGATCTCTCTCTCCGAATCAAACAGATCCCTGTTTGCTGCTTCCAGCAGCGATTGCTGATGGGTAGAATGGGAAAGCTGAGCACTGAGAGAATTCTGCAATTCGCCAATCTGATCCTGCATCTCTAGTATCATATCATCCCTTCTCTTCAACTGCTGTCTCAGCTTTTGTATCACTTCTCGCTTGCTGAAGATGTCAGAACCAGATTCTGAGACACATGGGGAGTCAGAGCAATTTGAGTGGTGGAATGGTTTCTGTGGCAGCTCAAGACGGTCGGGTGAGGTTGCCCAGATCACACCATTTTCTTTTCCAAATTCAGGGGCCGGAACTGTCACAAGAGGTAGTGCCATTTCAGGTTCTGTTACCAATTGGCCATTCTGTTGCTGCTTAAGCTCCACCATACCTCCAGTTCCTGTTCCGAAAGACCGATTTACACATACATGAAAAGAAACCAACCAACGCACACCCACACACACAGTCATTCTTCTGAAGAAAACTGAAAAAACACCATTTTCCTGAGTAACCAAAATCCATATAACCTTCCATTAAAAAAACGTGTTAATGTCACAAAAATGCTCAGTAAAAAACTATGCTAAGGTAACGAGGTTAATCGCAAATCTGCTCCTCAATCATCAAATGGAATTTGAAAATAAANATGTGTTAATGTCACAAAAAAGCTCAGTAAAAAACTATGCTAAGTTAACGAGGTTAATCGCAAATCTGCTCCTCAATCATCAAATGGAATTTGAAAATAAANATACTTAATTAGTATTTTTGCAACTCAAAAAGCAAGAAGAACTAAATTTTTTAAATTATTCTAAAAATAAAAGGCATAATTTAAAATCACTGCATTTGGTCTCAAATTACCTGAAATCGCCCCTGACCATGAAATTAGATACGTTAAAAGTTATCTTACCATCTATATTAGACTTTAATTGCGCTTACCAACACAATTCCTTCCTCTTAATACGATAAATATACATATAAGAACCACCAATATTGATGGTTCAAGTTGCAATATCCGCTATCGATTTGAACGACATTAAGACGTTAACATGAAATTATATCGATAACACATACAAAATACCAGATAAAAAAAGATGAATATGATGAGAGATTCAAGTAATATCCCAACATTATAAAAATCAATATCAATTGATTACATGACAATGAGTAGGAGAAGTCTTTGAAGACTAGGCAGACCAAGTCACGTGAGACTCATAGTTTACATAAAGTGGACTGATATTGGAAGAGAAAGTGTCGAGTACTATTTCAATACTCTAAACCATGGCAACATTAGACCTTCCCATAAACATCTAAGTAGCCATTATACAATATTGACACCCTAATGTTTTTTTTTTTGGGGGGGAGGGGAAAGACGGAAGGGGGCTTGAACCCTTAACCTCAAGAAAACAGTTTTTACAAGGTAAAAAGTATTATTAGACCAAAGACCTGTTGATCACCCTAATGCAAGGTGTTACAAGTACCAGTAATGTACAAAGTTAACATTTTACATTGGTACGAGCTAACCGTCCATAATAATAAACCGGTTTATTTGTTAGTTTGAATTTCGACTTTTGAACCAAGCGATGGCCATCGGTATAGGCGGTCATCATTAAAGACTAATGCTGTATGTAGGTGCAAATTGTCACTAATGAAACAAACCAAGCAGACTCTTTTAACAGTTCCTCTCCATATTCATTGAACCACACTCAAAAGTGAAACATTGCTTCGCTCTTACTATCAATCAGTCAAGAACGATCTGGGCTGCTCTTCATAGAGCCAACTGTGCATTAAACCAAAAGAAAGACTACATGCCAATGCAGGATTAGCAACCCAATTTTTGGGCAAGACTACGGTACGTTACTGAAGACTTCCTAAACTTATACAAAATATGTGCAAGGTTACAACTCAATATGGTAAAATACTACAAAACAGTGCTAATATTTGAAATTTTAGTCCCCTCATAGACTCGTTTGAAAATATTACAAAGACCGC